AAGCGCATAAAATATGGTCCTAGGTATAGGCCCTCTGACCCATAATGCAAATGAGTTAGTAGATATTCTCTAGGATTGTAATCACACATAGGAATATGATTGTAGGTTACCCTAGCCTCTGCAGCAACCAAAAGCGGTAGTGAAAGAGTATAACTCAAATCCCAAGAAAAGCCAGGAATTGCACCTGGTGCATTTTCCCAACATAGTGTGTTCCATGTTTTGCATCAAAACTAAGGTAGGAGACAAAGAGGTTGAGTTTCATTAAATTGCTTGATAGTTAAAACCCCAAACAACAACATTTCACCATTATTTTCTTCCTAAATCACAATTGCATATTTGAACCATTTCACTGCATTACTTGATTTTGAAAAGCAACAAGTCCCTGAGGATTCGACCTTGGATTACTTCCGAGTATTACTTGTGACCGTTTGCGCTTGCACGAATGTCTAATCTTTTTAAAGGTAGAGAAAATCCCAACAGTTATCTATTATTGAGGCTGAATATATTGCTGCTGCTAGCTATTGCTCTCAATTTTTATGGATGAAACAAACATGGTGTGATTTTGGTTTAAATTTTGAACATGTTCCTATCTTTTGTGATAATACCAGTTCAATTAATTTAACCAAAAATTTCATTCAACATTCTATGACAAAGCATATAGATATCCAACATCATTTTCTTAGAGAACATGTGCAAAATGGAAATGTTGTGCTTAATTATGTTCACACTGAAAAACAAGTAGCATGTATTCTTACTAATCCATTAAACGAAGAAGAATTTTGAAGGAATAAACTTGAACTTGGCATCATTCGCTTTTAATTGTTTGAATGTGTTTGTTAGAGAGAAATTTTTTCTGTATGTATGTGTGGTTGAAGGGGAGATCTTTTTTCCTTGCAATAATTATCTTATTAAGGGGGAGCTAAATTGCATCGATATATTTTTTTTTTTATAATAACAAAAGGAGGAGAATATAGCCACTTTGAGAATGTGTTTTCTTGAGTGGTTTGTCCTTATAAAAAGTGGGAGATTGTTAGCTTTATGGCTTCAATCAAACAAAATATCTTGATGATCACAAACCATGTGTGAACTAATAATTTGAGTATTTCAAAGTGTCCATAGCGTAGAACTCGAAAAGACAAAACCAACGTCTATCGAATCACTCAAATCAAAGTTTAAACAAAGAAGTTATGGTCAAAAGAAAAAACCTATGTGGCGGGTGACAGGGACAAGTGGACCACTAAGAAGTTGACATGTGGCATCAAGAGGACATGCTTATGATGACGTGGCATCCAACAATCAAACAAATGAGAAGACGACATGTGGCACTTTCAATCTCTACAATTCAAATTCCCACAAATCTCTCAATCTCTACCATCACTCAAATCTTCATAAATTTGATATCAATTTCCACCAATTTCTCCAAATCTCCAAAATCCTCTTTAATTTATTTCCTTCCTCACCACTTAATCTACACCATTCATCATCCTAAATCCAATGACCAAGTTTCATCCACGAAACTCTATTTAAAGCCTTCAAATTCATCCTTCTCCACACAACAATTATCAAAGCAAAATTTTTCTCTTTTCAAATTCTTCCCTCAGCTTTTTGCAAGGTTTTCATTCTCTCCTACACATAACTTGTTCATTCTTTTTGAGAGATACATTAGAGTATGACTTTTTAGCCATTACTTTGGTGCAAAATATTGTGTAACTCACCTGTGTTTTTCCATTCTTTATTTTCAAATTGGGTTTTGTATTAAGGTGTGGATACACCTTGGGTTGTGAGAAAAGTCAATTGATTGGATCCTGAACCAGTAAAAAGGGTCATGGGTTTCTCGTTAGCCTAGGATAAAGATGGTCGATCGATTTGGTTTTCACCCGTAAGAGGGTCATTACAGTAAAATACCCAATGAGTCTTGGGGAGTGGAATAGGAATTTCCGAACCACTATAAAAATTATCGGTGCCACCAATTCTCTTCCCTTTTTCTTTTTAAATTCAGCATTTACTACTGGAGAATCTTCCTTTTCTTGATCCTCTTTGAGTTTTTTGCAAAATCTTTTGATGTGTCTCTTCTTGTGGCAATAGAAACACTCTACATCTCCACTGCTACTTCCACTATCTTAATTGTACCTTTGCTGTCTTTTTCCATATTCCATATTCCATTTTCCTTTGCTCTGAGCTACCAAGGCTGATTCTAGGTGTTTTTACAACCCAGAAGTAGAAGCAGAATTCTATTCACTTCCTTTCCTGTGAATCTCTTCAGCTATTGCAACGTCACAAATATATGAGAATTTCATACTCCCACTGCCCATTGAATTTGACACAATCATCTTCATGGTCTCCCAACTGTAAGGCAAAGAAGACCACAACTTTATGGCATTTACTTCTTCTAAAAAAGTGATCTCCATAGACTCCAACTTGTTCATCAGATTGATGACTTCATTTATGTGAGAGTTTACTGAGGTATCCTCCTCCATGTGGATATTGAAGTATCTCGCAATGAGATACACTTTGGTGTTGCATAAGGTTTTTCATACTTGGCAGTCAAAGCCTTCATCAGTCTCATTATTATTTTTTGATTCGTCACAAAGCTTGCCACGTCCATCGACAAACATAGCCTGATGATTACTACTGCTTGCTCATCCATCTCTATCCACTCTTTATCAGTTGTCTTAGTGGTCGGTCATCATTTCAAAGTCTTGTGAATCTTCTTGTATGAAGAAGATTCGTTACTTGCATCTTCCAAAACCCAAAGTTCTACCCATCAAATCTCAACATCCTATCGAAGTAATGATGTGACTTGTGGCTGGATCACATGATATTGCAACATTAAGCTACCACTTGTTGGGAAATTAACCGCTCAAAACAAAGGTAAACATAGGGAAAGCAATAAACGACACAATAATTTATACTAGTTCATCCTGGATGCGGGTTCCTCTAAAATTGAGATTTGATACAAGCACTCAAATATATATCCCCACATATATTCACTCTCCTAAAAAAAGCCTCTTAGCTTCTAAGTATTTAAATGCAATATACTTAGGTATATGAATAAAAAAACTCACCAATACAGAGGAGAATTGGTTGCCGATGTAACTTTACACTCCTGATATCTTGACCTTCTTCCTCTACCAATACACTGCCACTGCCACCTCAAAGATTGTGCAACAACCCACCAAAAAACCCRCTTTGGTTTTTGACGGCACGATCTCTCGGTGCACCTAAAAATAAATAATGTATATATCGTGTGGGCGTGGCAGCCAACTTAATGAAAGGAGAAACCTAAAATTTGGTTTTGGGCTTTTGCTTATTATTTGGTTTTGGCTCGAATTATCCAACAAGTAGTATTGTATTGAGCCTTTGTAACACATCCCGCACAACTCAAGTGAGAATCATACTTTTGTCTCTACTTTATTTTCATCTCTTCTTTCATATTATATTGTTCTTGTTCTTATTTTGCTCTTAGTTCTATAATACCTCATTGTTTCTTTCCCCTTCTTTTTTTTTTTTTCTGTCCTCACTTTATAGAATTTCAAAATACTGTCATATTTAAGGGAAAATGAGAGTCAATCAAAATTTTAAAGAAAAACATATATTAATTGCAATTTAAATTTGTTAGAATTTATTACAAATTCTTTGATTGCGTTTACTTAAAATTGGAATCATATACGTTTTCTCAAGTACGTTTTCTTTAAAAGAATTGACGTTATTATTATTTTCCTGAATTTTGAAAAGAAAGAAAGCAACCATTGATATATTTTCATAAATTGATTAAAGAGCGTGAAAGAAAAAAATATTCATTTAATTACACAATTCTTTTGTTTATTTATTTTCTTGCAAATTTTAATAGTAATTCTAAATTCTGGAAAGAAAATATAATAAAATTTGAATTGAGAAATAAAATACCAAAAATTTAGGCGAAGAATAGATAGGATATATAGTTGAGCAATTTTTAGCTAAAGAAATTTTAAAGATTTGACCCTTTTGTTATGTGAAGTTTGTTGTAACATATAAAAAGTTCTCTATACAATGTAAGCATTTGGGTCATTTCAAGTATATTCACTCCCAATGGTAAATTCATCCATATACATAAGTTGATATACTAAATATACATAAATTTGAAAGTCTAAAAACTAATTGTATTCACTAAAGAAATATATACATATATACACACATATATACATACATAGATATATATATTACTTTTTATAAAATATTAGCTAATTTTAGAAAATAAAATAGTTGTTTAAAAAAACAATTGTGTTTCCTTAAAAAAAACACACATATTTTTATTTTTTAAAATTTAACCACGATTTCAACAATTATTTTATAAAGTTAAAATAATAATAGTGGGTAAAAAATATTTTTTAAGACAAAATAAAATAAAATTGTCATCCAAACAATTAAAATTTCATATCTAGCAATTTAAAAAATAAAATATGTGCTATGGACGGAAAAAATAGAAATAATAAATATAACAAAGGCAGAACATACATATGATGAAACAAGCTATTTAAATTTAAAACCCCTAAGTTACAGTGTTTGCATTTCTTTACTTTATTTATATATATATATATATATATACACACAACATTAATTACCATAATTACCATAATAACAAAGAAAAGTAAGAAAGTTTAGAGCTATAAACAGTTGAGTATATTTAGTATTCTTTTACTTACACAACTACTGCTGCATCAATGCCCTCTAGAAGTTCTCCTTGTGAAAGTGAAATCGAGTGGTCGTATTTGTGCTAAATTCATGACACAATTTTCTTAGTGTTTGTGTGAGCACAGCACTTCCACAGTAAAAAACACCTACAGAACCAATATTAACGAGGGACAATTATAAATATGGCAAAAACATTTAGTAAAATTAACATGATAGCAACTACATTTAGTTTTTTCAAATATAACATTTAAAAAAAAAACAAAAACGGAGGTCCAATTTTAAAATAACAACTTTACTCAAATGATATATCTGTAATATATCTCACTACTGATATATGTATATAATATATACCTTATATACTACTGATATAAGTGAAAATTTTTGCTATATTTGAATATTTTAAAAAACAAGTGACATATTTTGAAATATATAATAGATTTTTGTTATCCATTACAACTTTTCTATTAATAAATTCTTTGTACGTTCACTCAAAGTACTTCTTTTAGTCTTCGATTGATAGGGAGTTATTATAGAATGAGTAATTTTAGTAAAGAGATTAAAAGATAAGTGACTTTGTGAAAATGATTTTTATATAGTTATTTTAATGTGTGGTTATACTTTTTTTCAACTTATTTTTATTTAATTAAAAGTGTTTTTGAATGATTAATGTTTTAATTTCAAAATTTGTTTTAGAATCGCCAAATTTTGTAGTATATATTTGAAAATTATTTAACATAATTTATTAAGTAATAATGATGGAAAAAAACATGATATGTATACTAAATAATCAATCTAACTCTAAAGAGTGAGAGACAAAAATTTAAAAGTGATAAATAATAAACTTAAAAATATATGAAGATTAAAAATTTTAGGGAGAAAAATTTTAAAGAAAACAAACACAGTTAAGATAAATAAAATTAGAGACACAAAACTTTTAGAAAGGAAAAAAATCCTCAAATTTCAAGGTGGAATATAAAGACAAATTTGTAATTTTTTTTTTTTTTTACTAAATATCACTTGGATAATCAACTCCCAAGTGATTGTTGGGAATCACTTATCATTTTAGATTTCTCCAAAGTCTCTGATGCTAACATATTTATTTTAGAATTGTAATGATTTGACATTCATTGATTCTAGCCATGTCAAAACACCCCTAAACACATGTTATAAAAAAATCTATGTGCTTTTAAAAAAGGGAATTTATTAGCACTTTTGCCAAAAATACTTGTAGAACAAATGTTTCTACTTAAAAATAATAATTTTTCAAAAGTCATTTCAAACTATACTCACCTATACGCGAAGCCATATGGTTACTTGCCATGTCCATGAACACCTTCCTCCAATTGGGTCTAGCAAAATGGGTCCGTATCTGACACATATTTATGGTAGGTTAACATAAATTTTCTTATTTATTCACTGACTCAATTATATATTTAGTTCTTCAACTGTTAAGATTGTATCTATTTAATGTCTATACCTAAAAAAATTTTAATAGGTCTACGAATTTTTTATTTGATCTATTAATCTCTATACTTTAAAAAATTCTAATAGATTTTTGAGCGAATGATTTTGTTTCGAGTAGATCATTGCTATTAGCTCCATTACTTTAACTTTTCATAACACATAACCTATATTGTTTGAGTAGTACATGGTGAGCTAGTATCGGACAAGTATGGGTATTTTGTGGAATAAATGCTAAAATGATGGAGTTAACTATATAGACCTAGCTATTAGACACCAAATTGAAAGTTCAAATACCTATTTAAATATTTTTGAAGTATAGAGCGGTAAGATGCAACCTAAAAATTTTAGTGACATATTAGAGAGTTTTCAAAATATATAGACAAACACAATCCTGAAAGTTGAGAGACATAACTTATAAATTTAACCATATTTATTTTGTACGTTTCAAGATCGATGGTTGTTAGGGAGTAGTACCCGACTCTCGGAGAGAACATCAACTCCATTCCTAGCATGTTGGAGTTTTTGCACCATGGTTATAAGGGCAGATCTTACATCTCCTTCTTCATAAACACTAGTCAAGTAATTATGCATTTCTATTACATGCTGCGAATCCCATGAAACACGAAAAGTTTAATAAGTAGAAATTAGTCCAAGAGTTCATATTATAAGAAAGGGATTAAGAACTACTTAATTTTCAACTCACGTCGTGGTCATATTCTGAAATGTCGTCCATTACGCCTTTAAACCACTCGAACGATCCTTGCTCCCTCGTTATCCAGTAGAAGTATGCTCTTTCGGGACCCCGCCTACCGTTACCTATAGAATGTCTGTTTACTGAATCCTGCCACCAAAATAATATAACTCAGCCTTTTATTTCATGTTCATACAATAAATATATATCAAAGTTTATAAATTTTTTAAAAAAATTAAGCTGTTTTTTTTATCTTGACTCACAGTATAATGGTTAGTTGGCTTGATGGTGTTTAAAACATCTTTTATAATGCTGATCATTGGAGTTGCCCCAATGCCAAGCCCAATAAGTAGGAGGATATCATACTTTTTGTAATCTTGTGCTGGAGCACCGTATGGCCCTTTGATCAGAATTCTTGGATATCTGAAAAGTTAATCAAATTAGCATAAAAATCAATTAGTTACGTATGGTTATATATATTTCACAAAATGCATAAATTTAAAGGAGAAAAAATGTCATACAAAAATGGGAAAATTCTTCTAATTCCTTCCTCCAAAATTTTAAAAAATCGGTAGAAATTTTGAGTTTTCTTTCCGCTCAATTCACTCAATTCACTAAGTATTATACGCATATAACTCTTTCACCACTCAATTTTAACATTAACAAACGTTGATGGACTAAGTTGAAAAATATTAAGATATAGAAGATGAAATTCAAACTTTTGAAACAATAAGAACTAAATAGAAAAAACATCCGAACATGAACCACATGATGTGTTGTGAATTAGAAGTTGGACAAGAATTATTGTATGTTCTCTCACCTTACTTGAGAAAAGCCATCGTGTGCTGCTCGAGTTTCCATTCTCATGAGATTTCCCTTTTTGGATGTATTCTCAACCTCGCATACCTGCGACTTTCTTACTTAGTATGCTTAAATAACTAAGTTAATTAAGAAATATGTGAAGAGTCAAATTTTTAATGTGGTGAAACATCAAGTCTCACCCATGATTACAAACATCATGAAACTTTGATTTTAAAAATTTTTCGGTCTGGTAATAAGTGATGTTTGTAAACCATCACTCAATAGAAAAAGCCTAAGTTAATAGGTTAGAATATATTTAATCTTTTATTTGTATTCTTAACCATATCTTTGTGCTCGTATCATAGCTATGTAGGATCCTTGGATCCTCGTAATTATCTTATTTTTAGGCTTCATATCAAACTGGTTCTAGTATCAAATAATCACTAAGGACTCGTTTGATGACTATTTTATTTTTGGTATTTTGTTTTTGAAAATTAAACTTTACTATTTCCACCTTATTTATTTTTCTTTGTTTTGTTATCTAACTTTTAAGAAAGTTTTCAAAATCTCGGCTAAATTTTGGCATTTAGCTGATAATTCAAATGTATTTTATGAAAGGTGAAAAATATACTAAAACATTTTTGTGGGAAATCAAGAATAGTGTTTAAAAAAAAACATGAAACAAAATCGATATCAAATGGACCCTAAATCAATTATACATTGTAAGGTCTGTTTGTTTTCCTTTTATGTAAAAAAAGAATATAAGAAAAAAAAAAGAGAAAATTGGAATTTTTTTTAAGTTAAAAGTTCGAAGGGTAGATTGGTCATTTGGCTTTTATTATGAAAAAAAGAAACAGACAAAAAAAGGAATTTTGGAGGTGACACGTGTGTGACATGTGTTTAACAAAAAAAAAAAGAAAAGGAAAGAAAAGAAAAGAAGAAAGAACGAGAAAAAAAATAATAGAAAGGAAAAGAARAGAGAGAGAGAAAACGACTGAGGGTTTGAAGAAAACAGAGTAGAGGGTGAGACCCGATCGCAAGGATATCTGAAAAAATAAATGGGAAGAAGAAGATTGATATTTTTGAAGCCGAACTTGAGAACCTTAACTATGGATGACAGCAAAACTTGGTAAGGAAATTTGTTCATTCAAATATTTGAAAATGAGTAGAAATTGAAGGGAAATGTTGTGGTTGTGTGTGTTATGTTCAAGAACCCATATGAAAGAGTTAAAAGAAAATAGATTTTCGGTTTTCTTAATTGATTTTACCGGTAAGGTAAGGGTTGTTGATGGATTTTATGGTACGAGTTTAAACCAAAAACTGTTGGGTAATAGAAGAAAGATGAGTATGCTTGAGATTTCTCTGAGATGCGTTAATGGCTGTAAAATGGTAAAGGAATTGGTACTGAGAAGAGAGTAGTGGAATAAAAAGAAAGAAAACAGAGAATGAGGGAGGAAGAAAAGAAGAAATTTCATGGGATGAAGGAGTAGAGGATGAGTGGGTTAAGGAAGAAGATGATGAATAGCAAAGGAGAGAAAATTAGTGGTTTTAAATGAAATAAGAAAAAGAGAAAAAGGAAAATGTTGGAGAAATGACTATTCACGTGAGAAATTGGTGTAGAAAGAGAAATTAATTGTGGGATGTGGGTCCCACATGTAAGAGAGAAGAGAGAGAATAAGTGATGGTTTTAAACGAAGAGACARAATGAATTACAAAATTTGATTTATGGGATAATTTGAAAATAATGTGATTTAAATTGGAATTAGTTTATGTTGGAATTAAAAGAAATAATTTGGTATTAAATCGATATTTTAGGTCGGGCAGAAATTGGAGCAAAGGACAACCGAATTTAAAKGATTTGTGAGTGGTTATTTTATTAAACGTTTTGGATATTATTATTGGAATTTGTGAGTGGTTACTTTATTAAACGTTTTTTATTATCTAGTATCACAGAATTTATGAGAAATTATATATATTACATATGATTTAGCATTTCTGTTGAGAATGAAAGAAAATATGTTTGTTCGAGAAATTAGAAATGTTTCTAAGAATTTAGAAATGTTTTATGATTTCAAAGAAATGTTCGAGAAAGTTATGAAATGTTATTTAGAAAGAGATTTCAGAAAATGATATTAGAATTTCATGAAATGTTCTTAGAAAGAAAGATTTTAGAAATGATTTGAGAAAGAAAGAAAAGTTCTTAGAAAGAAGAAAAGAAGAATTTTAGAACAGTTTATGAGATTAAGAAAGAAGTTTTCAAACCACCATGCTATTGTATCCACAGGTGATTACATGTATGTTATGTGAATGTGTTTCTATAGTATACCTAGAAATAGAAGGTCTTTGGGACCATTTTACTCCACGAATTGAGAGAATTATTCTGCTATGCGTATTGAGATTATTCTATGCTAGTAGACCAAAATTATTCTACTGTGTGTATTGAGATTACTCTACGCCAGTAGACCAGAATAGAATATGGATACATGTGTGGTGTTCAGTTTTACCTATATGTTTTATGTTTGAAAGAAGAATGTTTTATATGTTTTTAGAATGTGTTTTATAGYAGGTTGAGAAGTTGGCGTAACTAGGTCGCTGGGGATGCAGGGAAATGTCGGGGCGATTAGGGCCAAATCCGGATTCCGAATCCTGATCCGAATCCTGGACTTGGGAGCGTTGTCTTTTCAGTTTGCATAGAAAGAAAAATGTTGTTACAAGTTTGATCTTCAGAAAGTTTACTGAGTTTTATGAAATGTATAATGTTGCTCCAGTTTTACTCGAGTTTTATGGAATTTAAATGAGAATGTTTGTACTTCAGTTTTATGAAGTTTTCTTTGAGAACTGAATTTCAGTTGTTTATGAAAGAAGGTTGACGAAGTTATTTTCTTATTAACTTACCACTCACTAAGCTTCCCAGCTCACTATTTATGTTTTGTTATTCCCCCCAGGCTGTACCTAAATATCTGAGTTTCTGAGTTTCAAGGAGAATTTAGTTAAGCTTTTGCCATCCAGAGTAGTTGAGGATTTGCATATCATTTTAGACGTACATGTAGTTGTTGTAAAACTGTTAGCCCCCTTTTGATAAAACAGAATATATATAATGGATGTAAGAATAGTTGTTCTGTTAAGATTATTATATTTTTTTTATCGTGCATCTATTTAGAGTTTGTTAGTCAAAGATCAGGTCAAAGATAAGAAGTTGACCATTGACTTCGTAGTTAGTCGGGGTCTGTGGTCGGCACGACTCGTTCTAGGACTAGTAGGTGTTTTGAGATAGGTCGTGTCAGTTTGGTATCAGAGCATAAAGATCTTGAATTAGATGAGAAGTATATGTATGACAGTTGTTTAAAGAATGTGTGATATGCATTGCATCATATAGAAAGTCATGCATCTAGGTGGCAGAATGCGTTTGTTTTAAGAATTTGAAACTCAGGGTACTAATGGGAGCCAAAACATAAAGAAAGAGAAAGAAGTTAGTAAGACCAATCATAAGAAAAGAGACCATGAGGTTGAGATAGATGTGGAGTAAGAGCATTTTTATGGTTATTGTTTCCAAGAAGGTAAGAGAAATGAGAATAGAGCTATAAGAGTTAATTGATAAGGGTGTATTTGTTGAGAAAAGGTAATTGTTGTATTGGTTCTCTAAGTAAGAAGCAAGAGATTTTCAGAAGTTTTGCCTTGTAAAATTGGTTTGTCTCTGTTGGGTGAATTAAATGGTTTGAATGCAGAAGTAAAAGTTATTGATTATAGAGTTTTATTGGTCAAGTTCTAGATAATGTTTAATTTCAATAACAGGATTATAGAAGCTCAAGTTGGCTATGTAGCATTGATTAAGATAAAGAAAGAAATAGAAGTGGTTAATGAACAAATTATATAGTATTAAATGGTGAAGTTTTGGTAAAGAGCACAAAAGGATATCAAGTATTGAAACAACATTATGTAGAGGTAAGTATAAAGAGAGAAATATTGGATATCAATTGGTTGTAAAGAATGTGTGGAAGAAAAGTTATTAAAGCCTGAATTTATGCAGTTACTAGAAAACAAAGGTGGAAATAACTACGGAAAGTTGAGATTAGTACAAGATCAACAAAAAAGGTTATGTTGATAAGCATCAGGAATGCATGAGAGGTATCAAGCATTGAAGGGACATTATTAGTAGAATGGTAGGGAAAAGAAAGTGTTGAACTTTGATTTGTTGGGGTAAATTTGAAGAAAGAAAGTTAATGAGATTAAGAACTTGTGTAGTTGGTATGGAAAAAGTAAAGATAAGTAAGGAATGTTGAAAATGGTAACGAATTGACAAAAATATATATTGTTAAGTATCAGAAAGATATCGAATTACGATAGTGAGGAAGTTTTATTCGATAGTCACCTTGGAAGGATGTACTGAGTTTTGATAGAAAAGGAAAAGTATAACTCAAGGCTTATAGATCCATAAGAAATTCTTGAGCATGTTGGATTTGTAGAATATAAATTGTCGTGCTAGAAAATTCATGATGTGCTGCATGAGTTTGTGTGCATAAGTAAATGTTAGACTAGTTGGAAATTCTTGGGTTGCAAGTAAGAATAGTTAAAATGGATCAACATGTGTTTTAAAAAAAGCTGGTGCAAATTTTAGATGGGAAATGAAAGGTGTTACATAATAAGATTATTCCATTGGATTAAGTTTTGAGAAGAAACCAAGTAATGAGAGAGATCGTATGAGAAAGTGAAGATCAGTGTTTAGTAATCATAGTTACTTTACTAGTAGATGTGGCTAAATTTCGAGGACGAAATTCTCAAAAAGGGGGTAATATTTTGTAAGGACGGTTTGTTTTCCTTTTATGTAAAAAGAAGAATATAAGAAAAAAAAAAGAAAAAGAAAATTGGAATTTTTTTTAAGTTAAAAGTTCGAAGGGTAGATGGGCCATTTGACATTTATTAGGGAAAAAAAAGAAATAGTAAAAAAAGGAATTTTAGAGGTGACACGTGTGTGACATGTGTTTAACAGTGAAAGAAAAGAAAAGAAAGAAAAGCAAAGAAAAGCAAAGAAGAAAGAACGAGAAAAAAAAGTAATAGAAAGGAAAAGAAGAGAGAGAGAGAACGAAAGAGGGGTTGAAGAAAACAGA